AAGTCCACAAGTCTTAAAGTTGCCAAGGTTGGAGACCCCTGACCAAGAGCAATATTGTTTGCACTGATTAGCAATGGTTTTCCAAGCTTTCAGACCAGACATTTTCCTACTTCTACACTAGAGATAGCAGGGAGATCAATCTGGCAGATTATTTGAGCTAAACATGTATGTTCCACTCATTTCCCTATTATACTTAAAACATGATATATTTTCCACTCAAAATTGACAGCATTCCAGTATCTTACCCTTTTCTCATTGGCTTCTTTTCCTTTTTTCTGACTCGATCGAGATAGTTTCTCATTAGCTTTTAAAGCACATTTTAAAGTGATGATATATTTTTATAACATACATCTCTATATTCTTTTCTATAGATGCCAAGTCTAAATGTGGAATGTAAATATTTGTATAATGCAAATACATTCAGTTGAATTTGCCAGAAACTTTAAAAAAAAAAAAAAAAGTATGTGCCTAGGCCACCCAGAATACTCACTTGAATAAAAAGACAGGGACTAAAACAAAGTCGATCGGTCAAGGAAGTAGGCTGCACAAACATCAGAGTAGCTAGGCAAATCTTATTTTGGAGGACAAGCAGATGGACCACTGTCAGTCCCACCTCCTGCAGAAGTGTGAGGCAACAGAATGTCAAATCACTTGACCATGGTTTTGCAGAAACAGAAATGGAATAGGCCCAGCCCCTGCAACTCATCCCTTCAAATTATCTCCATAGAAGCTGCTGAGAAAGTGATTTTTTCCTTTTATGATAGAGGAGAAAGAACTGAACTGAGAATTTTTTTTATTTATTTAATTGGTTTGTCAATTGCTTACAAGATAATAGGTATAAGTAAAAACATGGTTATGAATACATGGATACATATAAGAAAAATAAAAAATAAAAGAAACAATAGGACAGGGACGGTAGGCACGTTGGTGGGCTTATGTACGCCCCCTACAGACCTCTTAGGAAAGGGGTGAGGTCAGTAGTAGACAGTCTAAGGTTAAAGTTTTTGGGGTTTGGGGAAAAAAACCACAGAGTCAGGTAGAGTATTCCAGACATTGACCACTCTGTTGCTGAAGTCGTATTTCCTGCAATCAAGTTTGGTGCGGTTAACCTTGAGTTTGTATCTATTATTTGCTCTTGTTTTGTTATGGTTGAAGCTGAAGTATTCATTGACTGGTAGGACATTGCAATGTATGATTTTATATACCATACTTAGATCGGACCGAAGGTGCATAATTCTAGGTTTTCTAGGTCTAGAATTTCAAGTCTGGTGACATAAGGTATTCTGCAACGAGTAGAGGAGTGGAGAAATATTTAGGTCAGTGATCAACTACAGTTTAGGTCAGGGGTGTCAAACTCAAGGCCCATGGGGTACTTAGATCTGGCCTGCGGGGCCACCCTGGAAACAGCAAAAGACCGGCCCACGGTGCCTCTGCCAGCGAAAACAGAGCTTGGGAGGGCCGTGCACAAGCTCTGTTTTCACTGGCTGAATGCTAGCAAAACAAACTACTAGCAAAATTGGCATTTGATCACACAAGTGACGTCAAGCTGGCCCTGCCTCCTGCCGCCCTCCCAGGTCAAACACAACCCTGATGCGGCCCTCAGTGAAATTGAGTTTGACACCCCTGGTTTAGGTGGATTTCATACTTCTGATCAAACTTCAAGGACTCATTACTCTGTATGAATTCTTTCCCCTGGGCAGATGGCTTTAATATTATCTCAGTGCCCATTTTTCCATCACAGACCTCCCACTGCTTGGGTGTGACCTGCATAAATTAAAAAAAAGTAAAATTCACTTGCAAAAAAATGATGCATACAGGAGGTAGCAGTATCTGACTAACCTGCTTGGATTTTGTTATTATTTGGATGGAAGACCCCCAGAAAATCCCAGGGCTGTATTCTACCCTGGGATCACTTCTGTATTGCTGTTTAAGAAAGCATTTGGAGCTCCTCCTGAAGTTACTGGAAATTAAATTTAAAGATTAAATCTTTTTACCCTTGAAGCAGTCACCAGTGGAGACATCTGTATGAATGCAAAAAACAACAACAAACGAACAAACAAACTACAGCAGACTAAATGTATCCGGACTGATAATCAAGACCTATGATTTTGGATGATGGTTGTTGCATCTGCCTTGCTTTGTGATGATTTTGGAAACTATATGTAGTAAGGGTTCCTATCTGGGATAACCAGTGGGGGAAAAATGCCCCTGGCAATGGGGTAGGAAGGCAAACCTTGTTTCACAGAGAGCAGATTTCTTTCTCTGGAGCACCAAATCTTCTTTTGTTTTCCTAGATAAATGGGACAATTTTATAAAAGAAACCGAAGATATCAACACCCTGAGGGAATGTGTGCAAATTCTGTTTAACAGTCGATATGGTGAGTGGGTGTGAAATTTCTGTTTATCATCTGTGGTGCTTGTGGCTTGCATATAATTACAGAGCAATTTAAAGGCATATTTTTTTCTCTTGATCCCAAGCTTTTTTAAATGAAACTTCTATTTGCTGTTATTGCAAGAGATGGCTTATCCCTTCCTTAATTCCTTCTTGGTAAGGTGTTTTTTGGGGGGTGGGAGTGGGTGTACTATAGCTTTTAAGGAAGTTCAGGGGGAAGAGGGCTCCATTTGAAAAGTCAACTTTTATCAATGTCTAAATTGGCTTTTCTCAGTGACAAACCCTTCGGAAGCTGAAACAGCAAGGATGTCATTTATGAGGGAAGCAGTTATATCTGTGGCAGAAAACCAGTGGCTGTCCAGATGTTGTTGGATTGCCACTCCAATTCCTGCTCCTGAATCAATGCTGGGAGGGGCTGATGGGAATTGGTTTCCAACCGAAAACAGGAGACCACAGGATCCCTGTTATGTGAATATAACAAGCAATGCTTGGTCTTCTATAAATAACTTTACCATGATGATAGTTGCTCCTTTGAAAATACCCCGGCAATTCTTGTTTTACTCCACACCCTGTGAAAGTAGCTTGTGGTAAATTGGGTTTTTGAGTCTGTAACTTGCCAGTTTTAGGAAAGACACTAATTGCTATGATGTTCTTTCTGCCACTAAGATGGCACCATCCATCATGATGATCTTCATGGTTACCTTCTGAATTATGTGAATTTTTTGTAAACATTTCTCTGTCTCTTAGCTCTCCTCCTCCTCCTCTCCTTTCACCCCCTTTCTCCCTTTTTCCCATTCCCCCTCTACTTCTTCCTTCCATCCTTTTTCCTTCCTCCCCTTTTACTTTTTTCCTCTGGTATTTTGATTTTTAAAGATTTGTGCTGGGTTAAACATTAAAAGATAAACAGGAAGAGTTGCTTTGGGATAGCACAAATGATTCATGTTTTTTTGTACAAAGTGTACTGTATACACAGCAATAAAAGCATTCATTTTCAATAAAGGCTCAAGCGTTGACTTGTACATAGCTCAGTACAGTTATGCCCACATTTAAAATTGGATTGCTGAGGGTAAGAAACTGGGATAGGCCTAAGATGGGAATGTGATTTGAATTTGGAATGTTCTGATATATCACTTGATCTCTGAAATGCTCTAGCCAAAGTAGGCAATATTTATGCAGTTTATGTGGTGGGGGAGCCAATGACCACATGGGCAATTTTGGAGGAGTTAAAGTTAAAGGCTTATTTGACACGTCCATGTTGTTTTGCATCTAAATTAACAAGAGTTTGCTGCTCTCAACAGCAATTTCCTGTTGGACAATTTCACAATTTCTGACAGATTGGGCTGGAAATGAAAAATGGGTATTCTTTAATCACATGCAGACTGTGGATTCTAAACAACTCCATTCTGCATGAATGATACTATTTTTAAAAAATCTTTGTTTACTGGGATTCTGATTTGTTTGGAGTCTTTTTTATGTTGAATGGTTTCAAATGGGCCAATATATCATGATAATAATCATTGCCATCATCATCATGATCTAATATGTTGCCCAAATACCTGTAATCCTGGGTCGTTGTGATCCCAGGATCCATAGTTAAGGAAACTGGGCTCACCTCAATATGGACAACAGCTGCCTCTGCAGTTAAAAGTGTATATTACTTTAGATATCAAAGGCAGAGCTGAGGAATACACAAGAACTAAGCTACAGTGTAGTTTGGCTTAGGAGGAACGTGGTTTGTAAACCTCGCCATTCTAGTTTGTTAATAATTGCTTTTAGCTTATCATGATATGTAAATCTGCTGTGGTTTATTCAGTAAATAATTCAATCATAGCTTAAACAGTGTTTGAAGACAGTCAGTGATTGGGTTTGCATAACATACTTGAACTGAATTATCTCATTTTCTGGGCATATCCAAATCATTGAATCATTAAATTAAGCAGTGGATTTCTACAGTACATTAAGCCATAAAGAACTAACCAAGATTAAAAAATAAGCAAGTATAGATGCTTATGTTTTCAACTGAACCATGTTGAGTGCACACAGCCAACATATCTCTCAGTTTCAGCCTCTGGGGAATATGGACAAGGGGATGTCCAATTTGAGGGTATTCCAGAGAAACAGAGGGGTCAATTTTGTGACACGGAAAACTGGATTGTAGAGGCCTTTGGTCTAATCCAGTGGGGTTTGTCTTATGTTCTTATTCTTCTGCCTGTTCTTATATTAAAGATTCTATGTTCTACCATGTTCAGCTGAAGCCTTGGGGCTGGATCACATGGTCCCTGTCCCGTACCGGAAAATTGCCTGTGATCCAGAAGCAGTAGAAATCATTGGAATTCCGGACAAAATCCCCTTCAAGAGGCCCTGTACCTATGGGGTCCCCAAACTCAAGCGGATCTTGGAAGAAAGGCATAATATCCACTTTGTGATCAAAAGGTACTTCACTGCTTCAGCATCTCATCAGTGGATGCTGGAATGAACTGGGAAGTTTGGGACCTCCCATTCTAATCAGGGGGCATCCCTGGATAGGTCACAAAAGGGTGTTATTGTTCTGACCTTGGCTTCCCCAAAAAGCACTAAGCAGACTTTTTGTTCCGGCAAAACCCCTTTTATTAAATGAAGGTGAATTTCTTGCATTCACATTCAGCCAAAAGCCTGGCAAACAGGCTTTCAAGGGACTAATTAGACTTTATCTAGCCTGGAGAGCTGCCAAGTAAATATTTTCAAATGCAGTGCTGACAAGGAAGGGCTTGGCACAGAGTCTGTGTGCTGCATAGACAGATCTTCACACTGCTGCAAAGAACAAACTGTTTCCTGCAAAAGCCCCCTCCCCTTTTGCTTTTCTTTTAATCCCTGTGGGAGGGACCATTCACCTGTGGCCTTAAGGCCACGTCAACCCTTAGTTCGTAATTGTTCTTTTTCTTTTGGCAGCTCTGTGCATGCGCAGGCTGGGAACCGGCTCCAGCTGCTGTCCCACTTCACTGTTGTCCAACTCTGAAGGCAGCTGATGACTGCCAGCCTGCCCTGGCCCCGTCTCTGCCTCTGACGCAGAGCCCTTACCCGAGCCTTCCTCAGCCTCCAGGACTGGCCCATGTTCCTCCCCAACCTTCTCACTGTTCGACTCTGCTGCCAGCTCTGCTAGCTGCCAGAGGGCCACAACAGTTATCTCTATCCATTTGTATTTTTTACACACATACACACACACACACACATACATACGCACACGCGTGCACGCGCGCACACACACACACACACTTCTGATTCCAGTGTAAATAAGGCTTTGTAAATAAATCTAGCATGAGCCACAGTTGATCAATGGTTAGAGTGCAGTCCTGCAGGCTACTGCTGACTGCTGGCTACCTGCAATTTGGCAGTTCAAATCTCACCAGGGTCAAGGTTGACTCAGCCTTCCATCCTTCTGAGGTGGGTAAAATGAGGACTCAGATTGTTGGGGGCAATATGCTGACTGTGTAAAAATCACTTAGAGAGGGCAGTAAAGCACTGTAAAGTGGTATATAAGTCTAAGTGCTATTGCTATCTCTACAATTTTATTTTCTTGAGGCACATTTCAGAATTTATCAGCGGTCACCCAAAAAGGCAATACAAATTTTTATTATGGTAGAAAAACATGCTCAATTTGTTGTACCACATTCAGCAACGGGATTCAGCATCTTAGTGATCTATTGGCATGATAAATTTTAAAAATCACTTTCTAAATAACCATCAAGAAGTTTAGCTCTCTTTCCATGTGAGAAGGAATAAAAATGTCTATGTCATTCTGGTAAGCTTGTGACATGAACCTCCGATTGGAGGGAGGTAATGTTTATCCCCCTATCAATTTCAGATGGATGCTTTTTATTGTTATTTTTCCCCTTCTTGGCACCTGAATTATTTCTCCTTCCTTTACAGGATGTTTGATGAAAGAATATTTACAGGTATGTCAGACATTTTCCCCAAAGATCCTGTCAAATAGAATGCAGCTAGACACTTTGAAGCTATTTCCTTCTCTGAATTTCAGAAAGATATATTACTATTACTATCTGTACTAGAGTAGGGAATTGTTCCTATGATACTGAAATGTGATTTGCTGTTTAGTTTGTGTTGTAGCACATGACACTAGACTGGAGAAGCTTGTGTTAAACTTATTAACTGTACCTGTCAGCTTTATAACCCAAGGCCTGAATCTGTCTCATTTAGTAATTAAAAACGGATAATAAAATTATTCACAGTTTTTCACAATTGATTGCTTAGATGTAATGCTGTCCACCCACGGTTGAATTTAAAGAAAACAATATTGAGATGAACGAATTGGAAGGAATTGTTAATCCCTATCTTGCCTTCATTGTCTCTGTTCCCAGTCATGACCAGTCACCTGATTTCCCTCCAAGGGAACAGGTGACAGAGAAGAACAGATTTTGCATACCTAGAGATTTCCCTTCAGTGGTGGTAGACTAAAAAAAATACAGTTTTTAACACTGGAACACCTAAAAGTGACTCATGTCTAGACTGGGAATGAGTTGGTGCCAACATCATGGGATCACAGTAGAAAAGAGGTCTTCTCAGACTAGGTTGGTGTTATTGGTTAGGTCAGGGGTCCCCAATCTTGGCAACTTTTAAGAGTTGTGGACTTCAACTCCCAGAATTCTACAGCCAGCTGTGCTGTGTTGGCTGGAAAATTCTGGAAGTTTGTCCACAAGTCTTAAAGTTGCCTCTGGGTTAGGTTGAAAGAGGGAAATCTTCAGTCAGGAATGAATATGACATCTTCCAAACTTGGTCATCTAAGGGAAAACTCAAAGTTGTAAATGAACTCAAGACTTGTTTTGACTCAAAATTGTAACCATGTTTGATGATATTCTGCTAGGAATAAACTAGTGCAGAACAGGTGAGAGATCTTAACGTCTCTATCTTCTGACCCAAATACTAGATATGATTCTTCTGCTCTGCAAAGCAATTCTGTAAAGTAAATGGAATTTTCAGAGCCTCCCCAGAGTATGATAAGCTTTTCAAATCCATTGGAAAGGATTTGGGGCTTTTTCTTTCAGTGAGAAGTAGATGCCCAAATTTCTCTCCCAAAGGCCTATGGAACAGTTTCCATTATAAGCTCTATCAAAGCATCTTCCACAAATGGCAAATTGAAAGAGATGAGATTATGCTGTGACATTAGCACTGATTGATTAATTATGTGCCATCAAGTCATTGTTGACATAGCGATCACGTAGTTTTCCCATAGAGCAATTGGACTCCAGTGTGGTCCTTTACATCTTCTAATGCTGAATATTGGTTTTAAGAAGTTATTAAGGGTAATGTTTTTTCTTTCTCTGGAGGATGGCATTTCTTTGGAATAATCTGCTGGGTCATAGAACTGTAGAATTGGAAGCTACTTTAGTAATCCCTTGTTCAGAACAGCCTCCATGAATACATTTCTGATATATTAAGAGCCGTGGTGGCGCTGTGATTAGAATGCAGTACTGCAAGCTACTTCTGCAGGCTGCCGGCTGCCTGAAATTTGGCAGTTCGAATTTCACCAGGCTCAATGTTGACTCAACCTTCCATCCTTCTGAAGTGGGTAAAATGAGGAGTCAGATTGTTTGGGGGCAATATGCGACTCTGTAAACTGCTTAGACAGGGCTGTAGAGCGTTGTGAAATGGTATATAAATCTAAGTGCTGTTGCTATATGACCATCCATCCACTTCCATTCTTTATATTGCTGATGGATGCCCAAGAGGCCAAACTCTCTAAGGGCTAGTGCCTTGATATGTGTTTTAGACCAGGGGTCTCCAACCCTATACCGCAGCCCACTACCAGGGCCTTGGCTCATTTGGAACTGGGCCACATAAGTGGCTGGCTGGCCCCCACGTGTGCGCACAGCTTGACTTGTGCGCGTGGTGGGTCGGCACAGGGTGGTTCCTCTCTCCTCCCCCCCCTCCGCCCCACCAGGCTACCAAGCCATAAAGCTTGTGGACCACTGTTTTAGGCCATACAGTTCTTCCTCCAAAATTGGGCAGCAGCAAAATATCTTTCTTTTTCTCTCCCCATGCTGCCCAATCCGCACCACCAGGAAATAAATTTACCAAAGATGCAACCAAGATTGAGCCATCAAGCCCCTCTGGGGAAGTCTCCCCTGAACCACACAGAATGGCATTTCTTGATTTAGCAGGGACTTCTCAAGCTAATCACAGGTAAGCTCATTTTTATCTTGTTTAAATGATGGGGCATGAAGACCATGGTGTATCATTGCTGGGATATGTAGCTGATAATACTGCCTCTGAACATGGAGGTTATAGTTTAGTTAATATAGCTGATACATATTTATACAATCCTTCCATGATTACATTACTTTTTAAACCAAATAGTTCAGCAGCTGTCATGATATTTTGGGACAAGAGTTTCATACCTTGATTATACTGTTGAGAAATATATCAAGCCATTATATGAAAAATCATTGGGATTCCAGTGACTTCATTAAAAGCATGAACTGAAAAGCCACAAATACTTTTTATTTGATTAAATGTGTTCTTTCTTTGTTGTCCTATATCTGTGTTTCTTAAATAAACCTTTGTAGGTGATACTGTTGCCCTCTTGGTGTTTTTTTTTTTTTTAATGTTCAGGTTGTTTTCCCAGACAATCATTAGATGACAGCAAATATAACCATCTCCTCTTTGCTGCCATCTAATGGTCATATTGTCAACTTAGTTTTGGCAGCCTTGTTCTAGTTAAAATCAAGAAAAGAATTACACTAGATGTTCATCCGTATTACTTAAATTTCAATCTAACTTTTTTCCCAGAAAGCTGTTTTGTTGATACAGTGGCCCTGTTATATGATTAAGTTAAGAGAAAGACATAATTCCATAACCACTGAACAGGGATATTTATATACATTTATTGCCTTGTCAGTTCTATTGATCTCTCATAAAATAAATCAATTTCACATTTCAGCTTGCTAAGCATAAAGACAAGGTGCTATAGTAATATAGCCAAAGATTCATTGCACTTTAGCACAGGAAGTATTCTTCTGTTTTAGAAGACTTTATTCTTTTGAGAAGGATGTGAAGGAAGGATTAAAGGGTTGATAGAAATAGGATGGTCTTATTTATACAAATGATCCCATCCTTCAGCCTTGAATATCTTATTTGACTGACAGATTCCAGACCCAAATGATACTTAGAAGAATGCAGAATATAAAAAAAATGCAACACATTGAACCGAACCACATCCTCGACTTATGACCAAAATTGACCCCAAAATTTATGTTGCTAAGTGAGATATTAAGTGAGTTTTGTCTCAGTTTACAACCTTTGTTGCCACAATTGTTAAGTGAACCCCTGTAGTTGTTAAATTAGTAACCCGGTTGTTAAGTGAATCTGGCTTCCCGATTGACTTTGCTTGTCGGAAGGTCGCAAAAGGGGATCACTTTACCCCAGGATGTTGCAACCGTCATAAATATGAACCAGCTGCCAAGCATCACGTGACCATGGGGTTGCTGCAACGGTTGTAAATGTGGAAAATGGTCATAGTACGTTACTTTCTCGGTGCCATTGTAACTTCAAACGGTCACTAAATGAATGGTTGTAAATTGAGGACCATCTGTAACCACAAAACCTGCTTGATCCTGCTTTCATTTGCTAGGTCTGAGAAATGCCTCATCTCTGGAGACTGTGAACCAGGTAAATCACCAGCAATCTCTGCTTTGTTCAAGTAATGGTAAGAACAAGATAGTAGAAACTGTCTGCATTTGAATATAATATTGAATTAATTATGTACAGTTGCTGTAGTTTTCATGATTTAATGTCATGAATGATGTACTGTTATCTATTTATTTATGAGTCCCAATTTATATAGCTGCCGAGCTCACAAATCATATGTCTATAAACGTATGTTCCTTAATATACGTATTAAGTCCATTAAGGGAGTAGATAACCAATAAGATAAAATTAAGATTCTCTTTAAAAATGCCAAATGTTGCGTTGCCTAGAACAAAGATTCTGATCCTCACGACTATTATGGAGAAGAATTCTTCAAAAGTTTGAGCTTAGAGGATCTTCTTGCCCTACCCTTGATATATACCCTTGCCTTTCTTGAACTTGATATATGGGTTGGGGTTCCAGATTCAATTTGTATATGTTCAGGAAGAAATAAGTAAGGTTCCTAATAGGAACTACAGGCAGGTTTTATAAATTGCCATGATCCTAAACCTATGAAAGGCAGCTTCTGCATTCCTGTTTATATACATCCTTTGTTCAATACCATGAGAATTAGAATCTTACTTACTTACTTTTGTACAGAAGAGGCGTTAACTCAGTTGCAGAGCATATGTACCAGAGTTCCCTTCAGTAGATGCAATGCTATATAAATTTATTTAATAAATAAATATGCTTGGCATCTCCAAAATGGACTTGGAAACGTTCCCGTCTGAGATCTTTAGTCTTTATTATAAACTATTTTAGGTGTTTTAAAAATAAGAAGGTATACAAAGTTACAAATAAATAAGGGAGACTGAGAGTGAAGAATAAATGGCCCAACTCAGTATTTTTAATTGATGATACTGCTTTAAGTATCACAATAGTAAACAAAGGGAGAAAAAGATGATAAACAATCATTTCTTGTTACAGATTTTATGGTCTTATTTATCTAAGCATCTCTCTTCTTCCCACCCTCTCTCTCTTTCTCCTGTTCCAAATTCTCACTGTTCTTCTACTTTCCTTGATAGGTACCTCAGGGGAACTGGGAGGAATTAAACGCATCAAAATAGAACCAGACGAGGTGGACATAATTCAGATCACTGTTCCAGGTCAGTACATTTCACACAGAGGGTTCCCAAGGCCTTCTCGGCATCTTTTCAGACTTCTCCAACCTGATTTCTGTTCAATGTTGCTACACACAAATATCTGGAGGTTGTCAGGTTGAGGCCTCAAAAAATCTAGGCCAGGAGGATTTTTGTGAAATTTTACCATTCTCTCAAAAACAAGATGGCTGGATTTTGGCAAGATTTCAGAAAATTGGTCTCTTTTATTGTGACTGCCTCTTCAAGTCCTGACAGGTGACTTGGTATTGAGGGGCCCTGCTTTGGTACACTGGTCGATGTGTAATTACTGGCCCAGACCAAACCAGATACGCTAGTTTGGTCTAAGGTTAATCACTAGGCTAGACATCAGAAGACTGTTCTCTTAGGCATGAGTGACTTTGGATCAATCACCAGGAGATTCTGAGTTCTAGTCCCACTTTAGGCTTGAAACCCAGCTGGGTGACCTTAGGCCAGTCACTCTCTCTCCGCCCAACCCACTTCACAGGGTTGTTGTGGGGAAAATAGAAGGAGGAAGGCGTATTAGATATTGTTGTGGTTCACCAGCAGCAGGTGTGGACAGCTGAGGTCTTGGAGAGTGAGGACTCAGATAAGGGGCCTGCGTGTGATGCAGGGATGGGGCCAGGACTTTCAGAGAGTGGGGTGCTGCCTTCGGAGCTTGTGGAGTCTGGCAGCAGTGATGCAGAGGACCCCGAGGAGCCTGTGCCCAGTGCGTGTGCGCGCAGGGCTGCTTGAAGGAAAGAGCAGCTGCAGCAGCACTGGTGACTCGGGAGTAGGGCTGCAAGGTGATAGCCCCTCCCTTAAGGGATAAAAGCTAGCCCTCAGAGGTGGGATTCTTTACAGGAAGCAAAGAAGTTCTTGCACTTCAAGTTCTCATGGAATTTCGATCTATCCTGGTTTGTTTTCTGAGACTTTTGGCTTTGAATATTTCCTTGCACTTAATCTTGTGGTCCTTGGCAGCTTTGCACAACCTTGACAGGGCTTGCTCTTATCTGGGACAATTAGTTTTAATAGTGCTTTGCTGTGAATGAACAGAATTTACAGAGACTCATTAAAAAGGTTTTGGTTTTATCTATGTTTTGCATTCGTTTGATTTGAGGTTTGGGTCAGAACAGATATCTTTGTCCCCTTACATTATTTATAAAAATAATAAAAAGGTGGGTTAAAAAAATCTAAAATAACTAAGCACCTCCATTTAAGCATCTTGTTTGGAATGGAATACCTTTCTTTCTTGGAGGGCTAAGAGGCACCTTCCAAGCAACATGTGAACCTTCTGGAATTCTTCCTTTCCCGGCAATAATCTGAATACCAACGATGCTACACGTTTTAAATGTGAGCTGCTGCCTCAAGTGATTTGGTCCCTTGGGCCAGAGCTGAATCACCCACCTATTTAAAAGCTGGCACTTGATTGCCACGTCTCCTCCGTCTCATTAACAGATCATGCCCTCTGGGGTCACCGCCAATTGCTTGCCACTCTTTGCCACAAGTTGCCACTTGTCATTCCGAATAAATGATGTCTCTGAAGAGTTTGCATGATAGAGGAATTGTGCTCAGAGAAGCAGTGATAATCACCAAGTGTAACGCTTTGGCTTGCTGCTACATGGGAAGGCTTCTTGTCATCAGAAGATTCAGCTTGCAATTGGGTCGTAGCATTTTCAGGGACTCGGATGAAAGAAAGAAAGAAATTCATTTGATCCAAAATGTAAAGCTGGGGGATGAATCAAAATAACATGAAAGAGCATGCTAGTGTTTGAATTCTCACATATCCTTTTGGTGTTGTTTTTTGTTGATCCTTGTAATGCTGCCAGGCAGTTATGAGATTTGGCTTAGGGCCATAATTGCTTTTTCTATTATTTAATTAGTATTGCGTCTTTCAGTCTGAAAGGACGTTTTCTACATAGCCTATCATAGGAAGAGCGAAAGGCCATCTGCCTTGTGATAAAGGAAGGTTTATGGCAGAGGTCTCTAAACTTGGCAACTTTAAGGCTTTTGGACTCCAGCATAGCTGGCTGGAGAATTCTGAGAATTGAAGTCCACAAGTCTTAAAGTTGCCAAGTTTGGGGACCCCTGGTTTATGGTGACTTCAATGCAAGGATGGAGTCAGATGGGAAGAGTCCTTTTTGCCAATTTCTATCAGCATCCTCCTGATTCAAATAGTTCTTTGCCTTTACTCACTCAGTCATCAAAGGACAAAACAGGGCCATAAAAGGGCTGTGTTTATTACAAAACATTTACAGGCAGTCCTTGACTTATGACCATAATTGAGCCCGAGATTTCTGTTGCTAGGCTGGTTAAGCCTGGTTAAGTGAGCTTTGCTGACCTGAAGTGATCATTCTCACGGTATTCTAGTAATTAAAGCATTTGATAATTTCTTCTGAGACTTAAATCCCACTGTAAATGAGGAACCAGCCTAGGCTAGGCAGTGAGAAGAGATAACAAGTGAATTACTCTTTCCTGAGATAGCTTTGCAGATATTTTCTACGGCAGCTAAGGGTAGGCCTGGAAATAGCACCTTACAAAATTGTATCACTATATTTATACCATTCTATTTAACAATCTCAACCATCCCTGGGGTCAGATAAGAAAGCAAAAGCTGTGAGCAAGACTTGAGCAGCCTTGGTTTGATTCTGAATGAGAAGAAGTTAGGAAAGAATTAGTTAGGCAATTCAAAATAGATCCAGCTTTGCATTCTATCCAGAAATTTGCTGAAAAAACAGTATAGACAGACACCTCCAAATGAAGAAAAGAGAATTTTCTAGGATCTCCTGGCAACAGCTCATAGTGACATTCTAAGCTAGGAATCTGGCCTTATCTTAGTGCTTAATAATTTCTCCTCATCTCTAGTCTCCTTTCATACTTTCATTGCAGTGTGAGAAGATCACTTTAGGGGAGTCCTTGGTACTTTCTGAGCTTGGTTGTTTTCTTGCAGACATTTCATTACTCAGACTAGGTAACTTCATCAGTGCTGTACAAGGACCCTTCATTTCAACCCTGAGCTACAAATATTCTCCTTTATTAAGATCATTTTAGGGCACTGTGCTCACAAAGGGCACCATACTAACAAGAAGATCCACTTGAAGTGAATCTAAAGCTATAAACGAATTGCTCACAGTTTGGGCCAGTGGGAAGGGCGAGTAAAGTTGTAGACGGTGATTTTATTACTTCTGAAATTCTACATAGTATGGTTAAAGGGTAGTGAATGGCTTTGTTATATTCCCTGTTCACTGATACTCATCATACATATGCCAAAATATTGACAGGGTTGCTGTTATGGTCGCTATGTATAAAAAAGGCCAGTCTAACTACTTGCTTGCCAAGTACTAGTCTATCAGATTAAAGTATGCTTTATGACAAGCATTTATATAACAAGTTGTTGGAGTTAACACAAAATATAATCTGGCAAATAACCAGGCAAGTGTCAGAGATGGATGCTCAATTTTTGATCATGTTTTTTATTTTGCAACATCTGGCTAAAGTATAGTCCTAGTCAGGTTTTGTACTATACTGTGCACACATGAGCATTGTTTTTCATAGCTCCACCAAATGCAGGGCACATAACAATTATGTAGCTCTCAATATACAAATAATACTGGCAGCAATGCAATTGGTTTCCTTTGTCAGAGGAGCACAGCATATTCCAGCAATGCTAAAATCGTTATCGTTAAATGCTATAACTTTTGATTAAAGTAGGTTTGAGCAACTATGGGAACCAACTGTAAATCACTTTTTTTTTTACTGCTGTTGTAACTTTCAATGGTTGGTAAATGATTGTAAGTCAAGGCCTACCTGTAAGAGAGTTTGCTAGGGGCAAAATCTGTCCAACCGCGAAACAAACAATTATTTTCATCTGAAATTGCATTTCAGTTAATATCTCCTTGGGAAACTCCCATTCCTGCATGCTAGATTGTAAAAAAAACCCTTAAGCAGCAGGTTCCATTAGTGTAGTTGATTTCTAGGTCTCCCTCAAATGTTAACAATTTGGGATTCTGGGATTTGGCTATAGATAAATTAAAACAAAAGATAGGCTAGAAACATCTGTGAGCTTAGATGAAAAGAACAACCATTTTCCTAGTCAAAGATAAAGCCACTTTCAGTTTTATTTATTTTTTATTTTTTGGTTAGGTGAATTTGTGTCCTCCTTTCTTGAGGCAGACATTCTCAAAGCTATTCATATATTGAATTTTGAATTCACGTGATAAAAGCCACACTGCCAAAATTGATGTGAAACTGGGTTGGAGTGGCAAGTTCTCTCTTACTTCTTTCTGAATAGATTTGTTTTGTTTTTGGCCTATCTCTTCTCCTGTTTTCCCTGTTTAAAAAAAACTGTATAAAATCTAATATGAAAATGTCCTTGGATGCCAGGAAAACATACGTTTTAGCACCACACAAGAGAAAGCACAAATGGATGCTGCCACTGAAAAGGCTCTTTCCCTTAAATGTCATTTATCTTGTTGCAGAAATATGACCACAGTGATCCAATGGATAAATGCTCTCAGAATGGTGCACTTAGATGTTTAGGCCCAGAATAATGTTACAGTAGGGAGTCTTTGAAGAGCCTTGTGTAAGACTTGGGAATTAGCACATCCTATTAGTGCTATGTATAAAGTGTTATATATTGCAATATCTGCAGCTATAATTTTTTTTAAAAAATAATTAGAAGGAAAAATAATCTGATGCATTGGGAATTACGCTATTCACTCTATGAAGAAGAATGTTCTTAGTAAGGCAGAAACTTTCTGGAAAGAACATGTTTTGAGGCATTGGTCTCACTGATTTGGGGCAATTAAAGCCCCCCACAGCTGAGACTGCCTGCTTCTTTAAAAGTCATCAGCCTATGTGAATGTAGCAGGAGAAAGCAAAGAGCCTTATTGATAACCATCTAAAGTTCCACACTATAATGTAACAGTACTCTCTCTCAAAAAACACCTACTCCCAATTATGGGTCTGTGTTCTGCTCAATATCAGCCTTCTCTGATTTTCAGATAAAGGGCCCAGCATTGATTTGCAGCAGGACGAGAAGCAAATGGAAGGAAAAGGTGAGTTTTGTCTGGTTTTTTTAAATACCAAAATAACCTGCACTTTCAGTGGATTTCTTTTGTGCCTCCAGTATTTAATATGAAAGGAGGAATGGATTTGTCTTTTTAAAAAAATCCTGCTTTCTTTATACGGCTGGAGAACGGCAAGTCACTTTATTAATGAGATGGGCAGCATGTACATTTAATAAATAAGTCTTCTGAGCTTTAAAACTCTCCAAATTCATACTACCCAATCTTCAGCAGCCGATAGCCAAAAATCTCTCCTTGTATATATTTTTCTTTGGTTTAGTTTCCCCCCCCTAAATTCTTCTCAAAATATTATTTTATATATTTCCCTTAATTACCTGTGAATGGGTGGGGGATGTATTTTAAAGGAGATTATTCCGAAGACACAAAATTTAACATGAGGTGTAAATAACTGCAAAGGGCTCTGCTATTTTCTTTTATTGTGATTTTTTTTAAGGAGGAGTTGGTGATCTAAACCAGAATCAAGTCCTGGTTTTGCTTGGTGAAGGGAGCTTCTGCAACTTTGTTTGCAATTTATATAGTCCATTTGATTTCAGTGTTCTCCATTCAATAATATTCACATGCAGGGACATTTTTTATGTTGAAGAAAGACGTTATTTATGATAACATTGAATTTACTGTAAATATTGCATTGGACTCTATTTTGTAAACTGAGGCCATTTTTCTCATTATTCCAGAAGTTACAGGTAATCCTCGACTTACGACCACAATCGAGCTTAAAATTTCTGTTGCTAAGTGAGACAATTGTTAAATGAGTTTTGCCCCATTTTATGGCCTCTCTTGTCACAGTTAAGTGAATCATCATAGTTGTTAAGTTAGTAACAAGATTGTTAAGTAAATCTGACTTCCCCACTGACTTTACTTGTCAGAAGGTCGCAGCTGACTCCTGGGATGCTGCAACTGTCATAAATACATTTCAGTTGCTAAGTGTTCACATTTCGATCATGTGACCATGGGGATGTGGCAATGGTTGTAAGTGTGAAAAATGATCATGTCACTTTTTTCAGTGCCGTTGTAACTTCGAACAGTCACTAAATGAACTGTTGCAAGTCGAGGACTATTTTGCTTCCATCTTTAACATTCCAGGCTCCTTTAATTACTATGACATCTCTTTTTTAACTCCTCATTGTTAGGAATATGAGTCACCTAACAGCTATTTGGGTTAGAAATATATAAACCAGGATAAACATTTTAAAACTGTAACTTTAAGAAAATGCAAAACTGTAATTAGGTGTGGTTTCTCAAACGGCCATAAGATGGAGCCAGAAACCTGGTTTGTTTAGTCTGAGTCTCAGAAGAGAGTGTGAGTGTATCTCTGTTTCCTTCTGTTGGAAAGTATTGCCGTTGCTCCATTTCTTCTAATTGACTGATATTACTGGATTTAATGTAAGTCTGATACTGAACTGTTTTTGACACTGGAATTTGATATTTGGATTATCCCTGGATGAAAACTGACTGATTTTACCTGTGAATGACTTTTGGATTGCTTATTTTGGACTTTGCTTAAACCTTTCTGGAAGTAAAAACCTACATTTACTGTACAGTGTATCTGTGTGCTCTGTGTGTATTATTCAAACACTCCTCTCAAATACGTCTCCCTGTATGCGCTCATTCTCCTAACGGGGAATTACCTCAACACTGGTTATGGGCCCAGACCATAC